TCGTTAAATCTTGAGTTAATCATAGGATATATAAAATCGGTTTATAGGGTTTAGGGATGTTTAGGGGCTGGCAAAGTTAGACTCGGACGCTTCCTAATATAAACCGGATAGCCGCAAGTTAGATCACACCTGTCAGCGACACTTCGTCCTGGATGGCGCTAAGAGGAGTTATATCGGCGCCTAGGACTCATGAACACTAGGCCCTAATTCTGCCAAGGCACATGCATCCATGCAAGCCTTCTCATAGGGCACTTGGAAGCCCTGGCGCAGACTTGGATCATACTGCGACGAACCAAACTCGTTTAAAGCTCAGCTGTGCCTCTTATTCAGCACCGCTTCTGTGTGGAGAAGTATCCTGCGGTGCTGTCTGTAATCTCTCGGTGGCTCCACCTGAGCTTCGAGGGGCTCTTCCTGGTCCGGGTGGTATTGGATCCGCTCACCTTTGTGAACCTTGGCCGCTCGAGTGTCCAGTGGCAACGCGCCTGGTCTGGTAGGGTGATCTCTGCCATACCCTGAAGGCTAAGCCTGTACTACATATTAACAGGGTTTGAGGCCATACCCGCAGGAAACCCATGTGAAACTGCTACGCATTGGCCCTGCATTGCTGATCATCCCTTGGCCATGGTTCCAAGATGCCCAGCCGAAACGGACTCTGAGACCGGATTTGTTTAAGGTCTATAGGTATTCAACATGCCCTCAGAGGCAGCAAGAAGCTCCTGAGGGCGTGGCATAGTACCGGTGCTCATGCCCACTGTCCTGCAGGAAGACTAGATAAATGTCACTTCTGACGCTTATGTGATGTTGTGGGACGACTTCTCGGTCGGAAACTACTTTTGTAGTTATTGTGTAGCTCAGTATCCCTGGCGGTATCAGTTTTGTGCTTAATTTGCTTCTCAACACCACGACCGTTTATCTTTTCAACCAAAAAAAAGTTATGCAAAACACGCTACTAGTTGCAAAGATCCAGGCCACTGGATTGAACGCTTTTTATCGGTGAAACCAGACTTCCATGCACCCCCAGACAACTATCAGACACTGTACTCCGGGACAACCAAAAACCCAGAGCCTACACTCACTGAAACCATTCCGCTTCTATATCATGGCAGCCCCTCCATCGCAGCACCCCAAGCTACTCGACCGACCAAACCACTGCGTCTTTGATCCCTTTCACCGACGGTCTCGCGTCGATCACGCGCAAGGCAGCTTTCAGATACCATAAACCCTCAAGACCTGCCAATTCTGAACAAATGAGATCAAGGTTTAGGGCAAGTCTAGGGTTGAGGGTTTAAGGGACACGAGAGTCTGTGAAACCATGGGCTTTTCATTCATGCCTCAAAGGAGACCTGCTACCGCACAAACTCTGGGGGATCTCCGTTGGGAGCAGAGACTGCGTCATGGAGCTCAGGTGGGGCGCTATACCCACAGCCTAATATCCCATAACCAAGACCCACTCTGAGACTTCGGGAAGATCAGGTCGTGGGATTTCCGGAGATTCGAGAAGCAAGGGGGATGGAGTACCGTTTGTGGCTCTTCAACACACCTAGACTTACACACCCTACACATCATGAAACCTTGACTTCAGCGTGGTTCACGAACCCAAAGGGTCCAAGTACTAGTATAGTATATACTTTTGGGGCCCAAATACCTGCTAAGTACCTACGATAATGGTACTTGGACCCTTTGGGGAAGGCTTTTCTGTTGAAGCCTATTAAACTGACCACAAGGATGGGTTTGGAGTTCGGATGTGAGGCCCTGAAGTTGCGCAACCACTTAAACAAATCGCGCCTGTTATTTACAAAGGCCTCATATTGCACTTTAGGGTTTAGGGTTATGTGGGCATTAATTATCCTACTTTTTCGCATGAACCCTAAACCCTAAAACCTAAACCCTAAACCCCCCTATAAACCCCATTATAGAACCCCTGGAAAAAGCAGAAGGAAGCCAGCAGCCGGGGGGCTTCAGGGTCGTAGGCACCGTAGCTTCCAAAGGAGCTACCCGCTGATTGCCAGCTCCTTACTAGTCTGGCGATTCGCAGGCTTTGGGTTTTGCGAATTTTTCGGGTTTGGGGGTTTAGGGGTGTAGGGTGTAGGTCATGTGCAAAGTCTCAGCAGCATAGCCCGTTTGCCAAGATTTTCCCGCGTAGGAAACCATGCCAACGAGATTGTAAACAGTCAGCACAGCCCACCTCCAGCTTGGTTGACCAAGAAACTGTTTCGTGGGTCTTCAGGTAAACCCATAAGTCCAGCAAGTGTTGGTCTCTGGCCAAGATACCTTTGGGGTAAATTCACCCTATCTGCAAAGCACCATTACCTTGGCGCTGCCTGCAAGTAAGTAGCCCGGCGTGGGTACTATTTGTTTGTATACTTGGAGCCCTCCGGTTAGCCCTGCATCCAAACAACGATACACGAAGATATGGACTAAAAGCTGCAGCAAATACTTCCGCGTGACGCCGTGAGACCCCAGATGGGATTCGCAACCCCGAATCCTGCAATGACACCTCCAGTTCCATCTAAAGCTGTGAAATCCAAACAGGCCGTACTCCGATACTCTTCCTCTGTGTGTCTGCTTCCGTGTCTTCGACAGTCTTCGTCTGCCCGTCTCCGGCTGTAAGACCGGCTGCCTGTGTCTTTCGGGATGTGTGCGAAGCTCTGTGTGCGTGCGTGTCTCTTTGTGTATGTGTCTGCCACTCTCTCTCTCTCTGCCTCGATCCTGGTCTCTGCGTATTTGCTGGCATCTGTCAGTGTGTCCGTGCACGCGCGTATGCGCCCTTCCAGGTCTGTTGTGCTTGGATACTGCTCGTACCCTTTTTTACACAGGCTTGATTGGAGCTCGCCCGGCCCATGTCCCGAGCAGTACCCTAAACCCTAAACCCTAAACCCTAACCAAACAGCAAGACCACCAACCGATGCCAAGGCTCTCAGCATCCCAAACCCCTACCCCCTGCTGCGTGGCGCTGCCAAAGGAATGCAGTGCCAATAGCACTCGCCATGCCATCCCTGCACATTTCAGGTTTCGGACATTGGGGCCATAAGGCTTTGGCTTGCACTCTCAGGGCGAATGATGGAAGAGCTCGTGAACCGAACTCAAGTTTCGTAGGATTCTGGCTCGTGGATTCGGCATTCCGGTCTGGAGCAAACACACAAACTACTCAAAGGAACTGCCACGAACGGAACGAAATCATCCCCCCTTCTAACCCCTTTAACTGCGATGTGCACAAAAAGAGAAGCCTTGCTATGTGGCCACGGGACGGCTCCGTATCTTGATCCCACTGAGTACTCAAGGCATTGAAAAACAGTCATGATTTGCAACTAACTATGCTGGGCGAGCAGGCTGTTTGTTTCGTGGGTTTGGGGGGATGTATTCCCCTAAACCCCTCAGGTACCTACTATATAGGTAGGGTACTAGAGGTTCTAGGGCCCTATATAGTAGGTACCTGGGGGGTTAGGGCTTCTTTGGCTGTCTTTTCTGTCCCGCCTCTACCTGCGGATCTGTCCTCTCAACCGAACCATGGCACTACCCGGAACGAAAAGGGGATACAGCTGCGGCGGCCACTCTGCGATTTCAATCCGCAACAGCTGTCGAAGAAGCTGGCAAATAGTTGATTTGTGGATGTCAGAAATAGCTGGAACACAGCAGCAACAGCAGAAGTAGGAACACCAGCCGCAGAAGATGGCTGGGGAGGATCAGAAGCGGCAGCAACGACACCAGTGGCAACGATACCACCACTGCAGCGACAGCAAAGGCAACACACATACGAAACCACACCAATCACAACAGCAACAACTCCTGCTGATAACCTTCATCGCCGCCATCACCGAACCATCCCTGCGCTTACCGTGTGCGTGACCATCGTCATCAGCTTCTTCATGGTTTCAGGTTTGGGGTTTATCGCGCCGTGTTGGTATAACTCATGACTTGCTAGCAGACTGCCGAGCGGAAGGTGGCCACTCCAAACCGCAGCTGCCTGAAGTCTTAGACGGTGATGAGACGCTGTGTAAGTTTAGTCAAGCTCTGCATTAGCACCCTCCCTGCAACCAACAAGAGAATCTTGCAGTATGCACAGCAACAGGACTCCCACTTCTACTAGCCAGCAGGGGCTCTGTTCCGTTGTAGCCTTTGCAAGTCCACCAACCCCGGCACAGCTCTCGAGTAGCAGAAGTCGTCATCTTTCTCAAGTCTGAGCCAAACGAGTAAAGTAAGTATAGGCAGGCGTCAATAAGACTGCACAACGAGTTCTGCACCCTCCCACCAGAAACTTGAAATCCCTGAGAGCTCCGCGGTCCGACGGAGGGTGGATACTGTAGCTCTGCCTTCAGCCACCGGGCAGAAACTGCAAATGCACGGACTGGCAGGACGTGACAAAAACGGAGAAAACAAGATCTTCGAGCATGGAGTCTCAACTTACTTGCGAGGCAGGTTCCGACAGAACGGTTCAAAGCACAACAGCAGAGGCGAAACGGCCAGACTTCTCTTTAATTCAACCCCTCCTGAAACCTCATCAGCCAAAGCTGCAATGGCTGCCCGGCAGCGGCAAGCACCTGGATTCGGAACTCCATGGCGCACAGCTGCAAAGGACACTGCCTGCTCACGATTTGGAGCTAGAGTTTAAGCACCGATGCTGTTCAAGGGATACCTCTCGAAGGTAGTGTTGGCTGGGTTTCTCTGGGTGCACTTGCACAGCTACCAAAGTGCAACATCGTGCTCAGAACTATCCAAAAGGCCATCCAGAAAGTGCAGCAAACGGATCCACACTGCCACTACCTGAGGTCTCCGCTGGTGGACACTTGCATACTCGCGAGGTAACTCGGTATGCTAGATGATAACTTCTTTAACCGTCAAAGCCGCCCCGCTATTTCCTGAACCGACCCTGGCATCAACTGATGAGTCACGAAAGTACCTATAGATTTATACGTAGCAGATCGTAGACATACAAGATCATGATCATATCAGCATACGTTAGCAGCCGTTAGCACTTTCATAAACACGCCGGCAACAGTTCAGTGCCCTCCGAAGATCTCCGAGCCGTTCTGATGCAGGCCACTGTGGCTTTTGCCCAAAGCATGGTGCAAGTGCTCAACATGCAAGACCCAAAGGGTCCAAGTACCATTATAGTAGGTACTTAGTAGGTATTTGGGCCCCCAAAGTATAGACGATACTAGTACTTAGACCCTTTGGGGGGGCGGGCTCTGTACATGTGGGCATGGTGTGCCAGGGGCTTCACAAAAGGCACTCGCTACTCGACTGTCGCGTTACTTACCCATCCCTCTGCGGACCCTGGAAGCCGGATGAAACTCCTTGACACCTGGGCTATGCCTATGTCCCAAAAAACCCAAACCCCAAACCCGACCCTTCAACCCCAAACTTTCGTATACTATGCACGAGACCCGTCTCGGTGCAATGAGTGTCCATGCTGGCACTTCGTGTACTATATCGGGGCCTCGCGGTTGAAGCTTGGGCAAAGCGACAAGGCTCACGCCGGGAATATCAGGGGCCTGACTAATAAATTACAACGGGGCCTTGGTGCACATGGATAACCTTAACGAGTAATCTATAATATGGATGCTCGCTCTGCCCTGCACAGCATAGTCTTATGAGTGGTCTGGTATTGAAAGTTACAGCTGGGAAGAATGTTCTTACTACAATATCACTGCTCTCATCACCGCCTCGAGACAAGATCCTGCGCACAGTGTTCCTCAATGAGGCACTTACGAGAACTAGTGGACCCATTTCTTTCATACAGACCCAGTATAGTTCAGGATCCCACAGAAGCGAGCCCAAATTTCTTAACATCCCGTATGCCAACAAGTCATTGTTCATAGGCTGTATTCCTGTTGTTGCAACACAGTCTGTTGTATCGTGTGGTTGTTTCTAACACTACGGTCATGTTGTGGTGAAGGGGCCGTCGGGTTACCACCTAACGTCCCCAGGCACACCCTGCAAAAGACTTGATCGCAATGTGTGGCCGCATCGACAGGCTGTCGACGAGGGATGCCAGGCGCCGAGTAACTAGATGGCAGTCTCAGGGTGAAGAACAAAAAGCCGAGGGCTTCTGCAGCCCCTGGCCGCACTTGGTCGATATGACATTGAATCCCCAAATACTGTACATCTACGATCGCGCTGCTTAGTTGCTGCTATTCCCCTACATCATGCTCGTGGTTCGTCTGGGCTCCTGAACCCCATCTTCCAACATGCTTGTCTTCGAGCTACACTTGCACGACTATGTAAAACCAACCGGCCCGACACGTGCTGTATCAAACAAAACCAGTGTACAGATAGTTGCGGTGCATCGAATGGAATTCTGCATCCGACAGTTCAAGAGATGACACCAGAAGCGACATCAACACCGGCACGCGCACGCACGCACGCGCGCACACACACACACACGCGGATTGATTAAAACAGCTTGGCAATGGATGGCTAACCGTAATTCCCGTAAGCAGGAGGCTAGGACATAGCTCGGTCACCTAGTATCAGTAACTAGGGGGCAAGACGGACTGCGCGGGCCACCTCCCCAAGAGGCCGAACACACAAAAACTGAGCGGCTATGGCAACCTAGCACTCCATCTCACAGTGGCTTTCCTGTACACACTCCACAATCACGGCCTCCATAAAGCGGTTTCTTTGATTCGGTTAGATGAAGACTATACTCCAGCCGGCAAGAGCCAGGAGTCGGCGTTCAAAGGTTGGGCAGTGTAATGTCAAAGCGTATGTGGGCGGTTTGCGGAGCCTCTACATGCATGCATGGCATCATGTCGATGTGCTGGTCATCCGACGCAAGTACACATGCACGTTGCCTGATGTTTGGACTTATGGTGATCCCTCAAACGGCCTTACTGGTTCAGATCGCTGGCCGCATGACTGTAGAATGTTACTTCTTGCATCTTCTAACCAAAGTCTGTCTGTGAGATGGGCGCCGCTGCAACAGCTGAGAGATGGTGTCGGCTGCTTGGAATGACAAAAACAGACCAACAGCTTTGTGGCCTTTTGCAGTGCAAACCTGATGCACATTTGTACAGCCATTGGCACTGCACACCTAATATAAGGCCCTTAATAATTAGAATACGTAGGGTTTTCGGGCCGGTTGACTAGATTGTAATAAGGAACCCCCTTAACCATCATGTTCGTGCTCGGGTCAAGGTCTTTTCGTCTGATGCAGCTTACTTGGGGGTGCCGATCAAATGGTGAAGTGGGCCTGACCCAATGTTTACCAACGGCAACGGCTGGATCTACGGAAGGAACCTACTGGCTGACACCATCCGCAGTGGCACTGCCAAAACGGCAAGCTGGCACATATATTCGGGCCCGAGTGCAGGAACATCGCTGCCTAGGTGCAGAAAGTGTGAATGAAGCTGGCCAGCTGCTGCACTCTATGCCCCGACAGCAGCCGTGAAAATCGAGATGCCCTCCGTCGCTTGGCGCTTGTCCCGTGATTCTGTCTTGATGGAGAGCCAGACTCAAGTGGAAGAGGCACAAACCCTCGTGGCCGGACGTGCGCCAAGCAGCAGGGACCCCACAAGAAGTATGTCACAACAAGGCCTTCATGCAAGGGCCTTCATGCATGGAAAGGTCATCGGTTCAGCGCAGCCGCCTGGACTTGTCGGGCTGATTCGAGGCTCTCTGGGGGGTGGGACCTATAACCCATACAAACCCCAAAATAGGAAGATTCCTGTTATTGCCTCATGCGCCCCTAGATGAATCTTCCCAAAGCCTGAAACTTCCTGAAACCATCAGCCAGTGACCCCACCCCAAACCTATAGGCTCTAATCGTAATCCGAAAAATCCTCAAGCCTTAAGAAGCAGCACTCCTAAGCCGGACTAGAAGGACAGCGCGCAAAATACCGCTCAATTTAGGGCCTTAATTAAGTCGAATAGAGTTTGGAGGTTTGCTATACTATGCTTACAATCAGGAACCCCAAAATATTATAGGTAATTACGAAGGCCTCTATAGTATGATACGGGTATTAAGGCTTACGCTCTCACAACACGAACCTCCC